GTTGGACACTATGGTTAGAAGTCTCCTCGCTGATGCGGTGTGCAGTCTATCCTTCAAATGAAGGAACTTCCATTCGTCCTTCAACCCTTTCAACCACCAGGTTGTAGTTTTTTTTGTTTTACTGACCCCAAGGTTGTCAATCCAATGCTAAAAGGCAGTTTGACTGATTGATTTACGGGAGTGAGACTTCAGTATGGAGGAATGCAACTGGAAGGCAGAACACACCCCGTTACCTCTCGATGTAGCTACTAAATGAATTGGTTCAGAGTAGTCCACAGCGGAGATGTGCTAAGCAAGTCTCCATCAAAGTCTATGACAGCCTTTGATACGCACCCAGTTTCAGTGGCCCAAAAGCAATTCCTGATTTGGGCCACAGAACAAGACGGAGGTTGAATGACAAATCGTGCCTCTTCCGGACCCCGTGATCCAACTTTTACTATGGAAGAACCTTTCAGTATGAACCCTTGTCAGTTAAACAATGACAAGACTGGCTTAAGAACTCTCAAATCCACTTTATTATTCCATAAAATCGACAAAAATTGTACTATAAACAAGCGAGCAGGCAGCAGAGATCCTCTGCACTTCGGTCTGTCACACACGCAGTAGACAAAATGGGGGTGGAAGCAATACATGGGAAGGACAAGCACCATTAATGATGATGCTTCGCCTTCTTCGCGGATCGTGGGCTGGGTGATCGGTGCCGCTTCTTCGCTCGCATTGCATCGTCGTGTTCACGTTTTCTATCCTCTGTTAACAAACAAAAAGGAGATCACAGTTGTGGAGCAATCAAACGGCTCATAGGGGAGGAGAAAAAAACATCACGATGGGACAGACCTCGGATGGCCTCTCGCTCTAGTTCCTCCCAGTCCTTGCCCTCTGACTCGTCAGAGTCGAGAGAGCCCTCGGCCGAAGACTCCTCCTCGGCATCCCAGTCCTCCTCTTCCTCATCATCGTCGTCATTGTATTCGCTACCACTGCCATCACCATCCCCGTCACCGCCACCGCCACCCTCGTCGTCTTCCGCGTCCGAGTCCACTGACGGCTGATAGCTTTCGTCATCGGCGTCGGAGTTGAAGCCATCCTCGTCTTCATCATCGTCCTATTGTGGGGAAATTGCAGCGCAACTTGTTGATGATGTGAATACACAAATTCATACACTGATTGCCTAGAGGCTCAACTCGAAGTAACATTGTGTCACTAATTGCATCTGCGAGTAATGTAAATCTAAGCACTTCCAATATTCAAGACGGAGTCATCTACCTTCTTTTTTCGCCACTAGGAAGAATAAACAAAGACTGAGAGCGACAGGAGATTTCCTGAGCTATCTTTAGGGGATTCAAGGGGAGATCCTGTCTAATCTTACATTTACAAATGACAGACTGGGCGCAGACAAATGCCAAATGAAAACGAACAGCCATCGCCCAGTACTTTCCCCGGACTCAATGTTCTTTCTTAATCAAAGCTACGGAGTCAACTTCTTCGGTAGATGATCAATGTACAAGTTAAAGCCTCCCGTTCATAAAGCGAGGCAAACCTACTGTACGACCTAGCACCAACTCTCGACTCTGCAGCATGTGGACGTATAAAATTTTACCAATTCGGAAATAACAGCGCCAAACCAACTGAAAACCATTCGATCGAGAGGAAATTCAAGGCAATATGAAGT